GCGACGCGTTATTCACCCTTTGCACACGATTTCTATTTACTCTCCTAGGGACTCAACGAATCGACAGAGTTAATCACGTTAAATAAGTGCACTTGATCTTAACATCGACTATTTTCATTTATTATATCGATAATAACGTAGTTGTTATTTTAGATTGTAGTTCAGACGTGATATCGACATAGTGTACCCTTAAGACTGAATTTAGAAAAATATATGAACTATTCTTTCTCAAAGGAATCTAGAAAAAGGTAATCTATGAATGACAGTAGAATCTATTAGTCAATTTATTTTCTATATTTTGCAATGAAGAAATTTCGACAAAGAGACTGGGCTAATATTATTTTAGACAATACTTCAGATATGATATCAACATATTGATCCTAATGACTGAATTTAATTTTTTTCTTGGAGGACTCTAGAAAAAGATAATTTGTAAATGACTCTAAAATTTATTAATTAATTTATTTTTCTACTATACTTTGCAAAGAAGAAACTTCGACAGAGAGTCTCCATCAATATTAATTCAGACCATGCTTCAGACATGATGCCACTCTAGTGACCCTAATGATTAAAAAAAGATACAAACAGTAAGATCTATTAATCAATTTTGCGAAGAAAAAGCTTTACCAGCCAGCGTGGATGTAGCAACGAATATCGAGTAAAAATTTCGTAATTTCCAGCGAAATCCTCGAAGGCAAATTGACCGTAAGATCGGTATGGAATTGTCCGAGGCTCAGTAGAAGGTTTTCAGCTCGCGTCAAAAGTCCGTTGTATGATAATGCTCGCGACTCGAGGGAGCGTAAGTTTTACCGTGTCGTTTGTGCCAACGGTGCCGCTAAAAGGAGCGGAGATAAATCGAACGAATGCTCGATCGAAATCACCGATAATGTCGCACGAAACTGATAACTCGAACGGTGTTTACGATCGACGTCGGTTTCGCAGGCGCGCGTGAAATCCTGGCGAGACTTCTCGCTCGAGAGGGCGAGCGAAATCGTCGCCGGGCTTACGAAACCTCGCGGCGCAGGTATTTTCGAAGCGATTCCGATAAGAAGCCGACGCCAAACGCGCGTCGTCGCCTTAAACTTCTAATAACGCGAACTTTACGGCGATTATTAACCGTAGATTAAGCCCCGGCCACGTTTCGATTCCGTTCCAAAGCGCTGTTCCATGATCCGTTTCGTCCGCGATTTTACGATTATTGCGTACCAAGCCTGAGCGCGACGATATGTCGCAGAAACGCGCCCGAATATTCGCATTTACATTTCAATTTTGCAACGCCTGTCGAAAGAGACGTCAAGCCCTTTGTTCTGCGTTTACGAGTTGTATAACTTCGACCCTCGAATCTCAAACTAACAACGTATTAATTAGTATCATTTCATGATAAATTGTCTACTCGAACAATTATATTTTTATTCGAATCGAATATATTACAGAAGAAACCTGGAAAGACAAACACTATCGTAAGAACGAATATTGCAAGATCAGGTGTTGCACCTTGAAAGATCGACGATCAAGAAAGTAGGGGCAGTTCGGACACGTTTCTTGAAATCTGAGTGATTATCGTACTTTCACAAATTTAATTGCCCCGGTATCGACGCCATTTTTTTTTAATTATCCAAGCTCTGACGTCGCGTCTGTTTTTCGACGAGCCTCGCGTTCGCTCCCAATTGCCACGCGCAATTAGAAACGAGATAGATCTCTGCGGGCCGAATTCCGAGAGAATGATCGAGCTCGTCGCCACGTTCTTTGGCTTAACGACCTATTTTTCGAATTTCACAACAGCCCGAGACACAAAGAAGAAAGAAAAACATGATAAACGCTCCCGATTCCTCGTTATTTGGCAGCGATTGCACACACATTCGGGACGACAAGAGGACGGTTGGCCACGGTTTTGGCCGCTGCGGACTCCGTTACGTTATAAATTCTCTTTGCGTCCGTCGTATTGTCCTACAACGTAATTTACATGTTCCCCCGGACGGACACCGTACGTGAAATTGAAACCAGACCCACGGCGACCTCGACGTCTCGCGTACGCGGCAGAGCTTTCTAACGATATGCGTAATAATATATTAATACGATTACGGAGAAACGAACTCAGGAGTTAAATAAATAAAAACGAGCGTACAAAATGATATAACGTCGAGAGTATGTACAACCGATATCAGTGAGCGAACATCCGCAAGTGTTAGTAAAACTTCGTAACAAGTTCACCGGAGTGGGAGAGGGGAGGGTGAGTTATTAAATAAAACATAATAAAATCGCGTTAAATAAAACGAATTCCGTGGACGCGCGCGGGCCCCTTCGAACATCGTTTCGACTCGAGCATCGAAGGAACGTCTAAACAAATTTAGACTTTCTTTGCTTTTTAATTAACCAAACAAAATTAATTTCGTTCTCATTTTTCGAGCATTTGCGACTTTCTAGAGAGCGATCAGCGTTGTGGAACTGCTATTTTGTTATAAATTATAGCTGTTGTTGTTGTTATACTATGCTAGTATTCATATAAATTGAAAGAAAACTCGAATAAATTAAATTGGATAAGTTGGAAAGGTTTAATTTATCTTGCTAGTTACGTTTGTTTTTTCAAGGCATAACTCGTAGAATATTGAAAATAATTATTTGAAATTTTTTGTAGAATTGCTTGAAACATGAATGAATAGCTATGCGAAACCACAGTGGCGTCAGTTCAAACGGATCACTCGTTATTAATTCGCAAAGATCGCCGGAGACTTCAACGCCCGGAGACCTCAACGCCCGGAGACTTCAACGCCCGCGCAAGAGCGATCGTTCGATGCTCGAATCGAGCGAAAGAAACATTTTATACACGCGCGAGTCGGAGCTCCCGGCGAGCGTCGCGGAAGTTCAGAAAGTATCCGGAGAAAGTTTAAATAAATCTTAGTAGAAAATGTTTATAGTTTAGAACGTAAGAGCTACTACTTACGAGTACGAGAACCGACGATCAAATTCCATTTAATCGCCAAACGGTTAGAGGGAAATAAACGTAAAACGGGGAGAGAAAGAATAAAAATAAAAAGGGAAAACAAAAGAACGTGAAATCTCTTCGAGTAACTTAACGGCGGCTCACGTGAGTCGCCTTGGTATCCTTACGCAGCTAAAGTGAACTTACACGCTAGATCGTTCATGGAACATACAACGTTAATATATCATAGATATATGGGACCAAAATCACCAGAACCAGTCGCGCAAACGTTTCTGGCCCCGAGCTATCCACGATCGCCATTTGCGAGCTTTCGAAGAAACCCCATTCTCGCCCTTCCGGGGGACTGGAAGGGACCTCTAATCGCGTGTCCTAGGACGAATCGATCGCGCGTCGATCGTTTCACGCCGCCCGAGCGAAATTTTCCGCTCCGGCGTCGCAACGCGCCCGCAAAAGGACGCGTGTCCGATCGACGACCATTTTTTCCAGCGTACTCCACCGCCGGGAAGGCACTTCGGAAGGCACTTTTCAACTCTACACTCTCAGACGCCAAAGAAAATTGCGTATCGCATGAAATTTCCAGAATTTCTGGCCTCACATCATATTTTTGGTAAAGAATTTTTTTTCTCGAAAGTGCGTAGGAATTCGTGAGTATGTCTATTGACCAAAAATGATTGTAATTGACCCACGCAACCAAAAATAATTTTTTCAGAATGATTTGAAATTTTTTAATTTCGTTGAAAAATTTTCAGATCCGTATTGAACTTTAAACGTTAATAACTTTTTAACGGAGGCCTTAGTTTGGCTTCTAGAATCTCCAATTCAACGAACACTTTTCCTGTTTCATTATGTAACCATTTAACGAATACCACTTTTATTGTCAAAAAAAGGATCCAGACCTTCGAATTTACAATTTATAAAATAGAAAGCTGTCGCGTGTTTATCATCCAAATTCACGAAAATAACTTCTGCATGCAGAAAATTGAAAAAAAACTCGTCGCGTTTCTAAAAAAAAAGTGAAGAATCGTTTCAACGTTCAGGGGTTAAATGTTTCCGTCTTCGACACAATTTTACTCCTATTTTGAGTATTCTTTCAGCAATTTAAATATCACGATACTTTTGCTTATCGAACAGAATGGCGTCTCTTACCCTTATTAGGGGTTTCCTTCGAAAAAATGGCGGGACGGGCCAAGCAGCAACGAATAGTTCCGCGCGCCGGATCGTCCATCGATCGTGGACCCGTGGACCGGATGCAGCTCGGGGCTTTAGCGACCGGCGCTGGCAAGCAATCGTGAGAACAGAGAGGAAAGAGTAGTTTCTTCCCTTTTCTCCAGCGAATCTCCACTCACATCTTTTTCCTCGTTGTTTATCCGTCCTCGTGCAACGATCTCCCCGTTCGAAAACTCGCGGGACGTACCTCCCAACGAGATTTCGAGCGTGTCGATCGCGTCAACCTTTCGATCGTTACCATGTCCGAGCAGCGTCGTGACGGCTCACCAACAGGGACGCTACAACACCTGTTCGACGTGCAGGCAATGGACGCACCGATGTCGACACCAACGGTATATAATATCGATTTAGTACCGACACGCGAGCGCCATTTCGAATAATATTACTGTTAGTAACACACTGCAGTAATATTACTAATATTATATCAACATAGTAACAGTACCAGCTTCGATTAGTATTACAATATTACATTACTTACAAATTATATTAGTATAACATTAGTATTAGTACGTGTGTATAGTACACTGTTGGTAAATGCGAACCGATGCTGGCGCGTCGATTGTGAGTTCGTCGTCGAGCTGCCGCGAGAAGCTAAAATTTTTTTCTGATATATATTTCTCGAAGAAGAACGAATGGCTGGACGAGGGGAGATCGAAAGGTCTCGAGATCGACGCGACGCGTCGCGCTGAGGTCGTGGATCGCGTTAACGAAGGGGGCAACTTAATTTTACCAGAAAACAGATGGTTTATATTACAACAGAGAAAAATCGAGACAGAAATAAAAAAACGGGCAGGGGGTGGGGGAAGCACTGGATAAGATGAGTGAGGGGGTCGCCCAAAACGGGCGTACTAAATGGTACCCAGCCGTGGCACGGCGTTATCCCCGAAGGATAATGCCGGACACGGTGGATCGTTTACCTTCGACCTCCGTACTGATTCTCCTTTAATCAGGCACACCAGAGACGCACACGCGCAAGACAATCACGCACGGCACGCACACACGCGACAAGTATATGGAAAAAGAAGAGAAAAAAAAAAACAAGAAAAAAGAAATTCCGCACGCAGAAAGAGTCGGAAGCCCTTCGTCGCAACTCCCTTCGACGAACAGCCGGGCCCAAGGTAATCGGGTGACAACCTTGGGCCCGGAATCGATGGAAAGGTGTTAACCCTTTGCACTCGTGTCCGCTTCTCGATAAAGCATCAGGCACCTTAAGATTATTTCGACACGATCTCCGGGACAACCTGTCACCGGCGCTCGGCGTACGCGCACACGTTATAAAAGGAATCGAAAGAGACGCCCGTCGACGTTACCCCGACACCGTTATGCGTTTCAATAAATACTCGAATAAATTGTTGAAGCTCAGCTTCGACACGTACGCGCGTCAGCAATAAATAAAATATCCTCAAAGTCGTTTGTTCTCGTCCCGGGGTAACGCCGTCGACGATCATCCGCGCGCGAGACTTTCAACGGTTCTGATCCGTTTAAAGGCAATATGGATGGCAGAACTGATAGACGAGCCTCTGGCTACGTTCCGTCTTCTTCATGATACCCTTCTTGTAGTATTGCCTGATGCTGCGGCTCAGTTTGTCGTAGTTCATGGCCGGACGGTTTTTCCTTTTGCCCCAGAGCTTGGCCACGCGGACCGAGTCCTCGATCTTGAACACGCCTTTGCCGCGATCCAGCCAGCGTATGCAGGACCCGTGGATCCCCGGGCTCTGCAGCAGCTCCTTCAGGAACTGCCATAGGTGTATGTGGGAGCCGCCGTTTCGCATTTTACCGCCGTTGTTGCCGTTCCCGTTGCTCGTTCCCGTTTGAGAGGAACCGCACTCCTCGTCTTCGTCTGGAAAAAACCGACCCGACACGGACCCTTTTGGTAAATGATCCTGGACCCTCCTCGACGATCGGTGCGCTGGCACGTTCGATGTCCATGCGACTTGTGCGTGACGCGCATTTTCTGCTCGTCGTGCTAATGTTCATGATTGTTAGCTTGAATTTATCGCGTGCAGGCGGTTAGTCGATTAATTTCGTTCGGGTGTGCTTGTTTGTGATTGCATCTGTTGTTTTTTTGAGGCTGTTTATAGTTTTGATAGAGATACGTTTGGGGTAATTTCGACCACGTTTCCATTGATATTTGAACCGATGGATATGGCTCAATTTGCAAAATGAACAAAATCATACATTCATATGTAAAACTTTAACTCTTAAATGGATTATTAGAGCCCAATGTAATTATTTGAAAATTTATGTAAGCCTCCATTAGTACATTATTTTTTAAATATTTTAAGGGTGTCTTCTATTGTAAAACGCGCGTTTTTGTATGTTCTCTTTGGTATTTTTTTATAAAGAAACTATGCAACGTCTTGTATCAACGCTTCGTATATATATTTACTACTCTTTCAGTAATGTTCATTAATTTTTACAAGAAATAGTCAAAATTAGTGTTAGTATAGAGCCTCGAAAAACGATTCTAATGGCTTCCATGATTTCAGCCGTTCTGTTTGTCCAAGTCAAAAAAGTGAAAAAGATTCTTAATTAGGATACATTTTTCTATATCCGATACTAAAAAAACATACAAAAATTGATAATTAAAAAAATATCGATTTTTTCTTGTTTTTAATTTTAGCAGGCTAAAAAAAAAATAGAAAGAATAATGATTTTGACTTCATTCTAGTACGGGCTATAGTGACATATGTACTGAAGGTACACGCCAAGTTTGAACGAAATCGGCCAACTGGATCTTGAGATATCACGGAAGCCAAAATCAATATTAAGTAAAATATAATTCAGTTGAAATTGAGAGTCCACTCAAGGATTAAACGTGACTTTTTCGAGACCACGTTTATTTAAATATTTGGTAATAACGCACGTTTTGTTGCGTCTATGTCGAACGTTATTGCGAGTGCACCAAGTTGAATTTAAAAACGAGGTAAGTGAGTGGTCGGAATTACCCTACATAGCTCTGTAAGGCAGCAATATGATTTATCTTGTTCGTGACAGTACAGTAGTTCCAGCTTTCAAGATCGAATTTTTACCCCGCGTTCAAGAGCTGCAATCGTTCCCTGCTCACGATCTTTATTGATTTCTCAATATTATCAATCTCGTTTTCAATGATTCCAAATTTTCTTCTTGGAAGCAAGAACTGTAGTTTCCTGTGTTCTGTGCACAATGTCTGTGTTTAATTGTTTCTAACAGAGTTCATGATTGCTAAGCGTGTCTATGCATTAAAAGCACTGATTTTTAATGAGTTTCGAACACGATTCTTGTTAGTGCATTAATAGTCCTACTATTTTATAGCAATATCATCCATCCTTATCCAAGAGCGGATCCAAAAGGAATCTTCTTTTGAACGTAATGCAAAATATAAATAATTTTTACTCAGATTTCCCCTATTATTTCCTTCTTAGATCCGTCCCTGTCCTTATCGCGTTAACAGTTCGAAATCCTTGACAATCGTGACAGCATGCATGATCGCAGATTGCATGCAGTTTGTTGTGATCAGAAGCTTTGATTTTTCCAGCCCAATGGAGGACATTTGTACTTTGCATATTTATGATTAGTAGCGGTTACAGTCATTCTTTTATGATGTTACGTTTTAGCGCAGTTAATTAATTTTTACAACAGTGGATATTATTAGATCTACGCTCGAAGGATTTGTCACCTACTAAAGAACGATTTATGACGATTAGTACATGATATACTACTACTGAGTAGCGATATGGTTATCTGAAAAATTCTAAATCTAAAAAAAGCACAAATCTTAAAAACTTTCCAAATTGTGTCGTTGTTAGTTTAATTTAGTATTCGAATGTGATTGATAATTTTTAATAAACAGCATGGCAGTCAATGCGTGCAGAAGCAATGCATAGAAACAGCGAAGGATCGATTTAAAGAAGCAATTGCATGTAAATGATGTTTAATTATCCACTTACCATCGGAGAAATCCACGTTGCAAGGAGAACCTTTGACAGTAACGGTGGTTGTGTTTGCAATAGACGTTGTTCCTGTTGTGTTGTTGTTGTTGTTGTTGTTGTTGTTGTTGTTGTTGTTGGGTGTTTGCACAACACCTGCAGGACTCCAGGAAGCCGCCAGAGTGTTTCGCGGGGATTCCTCGACCGCTGCTTTCCAAATTTCCAGCTGTGCGTGCAGCATGCTTCCGCACTGCAACAAAAAACGTTGCATTCTTGTTAAGCACCGAACGATTAAATCTACGATTTATACTCGTGTATGCTTAAATTTCTTTTGATAAAAGAATCTTCGTGACTCCAAAGTTTAAATTAACATTTTTATATTTCATAAATCTCCGATATTATATCAGAGAAAAGAATTATGAACTTCCCAAAACATCGTATTGTTTCTAATGACTCCGTACGGACTCCATTTGCATGAAACTTGTCCCTCGGTACGGCACGAAATTCCAAGAAAGTAAGAGGAGAATGGTTGGAAGAGGAGATGGCAGGAAGGAGTAAGTAGATAAATTTATCATACTCGAAGATTAATAATGCCTTGCGAGAGTTCTGTGGTAATGTAAAACAATTAAGGTGGATGGTAACCGCGCAGAAGAGAGACAGGAACTGAGAGGAAGAAATGCAAATACGTGCTTCGGGCTAATAAATGTAGAGAATGAATTAGAGTAGCTAACTAGAACCGTGAAGTTTCTTAAAAGCGTAGTTACGCATAATGAAACGGCTTTATAAGAAAAGCTGGGGTGAGAGTTAGAATTTTCTTGAATAACCATCGCGGTGATAAACTGCTGAAAATAGCTTATATTCGCTAAAACGTTTCCAGCGTTACGGGAAACTCGCCGGGAAGATGAATTTATGCAGGGAATAAATTCTGTTTGACAATTTATGCAAGGTATGCAAAGCGTCTGTGATGAACATCGTTCGATGCTGTCGGCGGTGCTAACAGAGATATGCAAAACTATTAAAATATACCAGCTATGAAAGGAAAAATGATTGGACGGTCCCGTCTTATGAGTTTCGCTCGACGGTCACCGGTGACCGGCGCTTTGATCTTACAAAACTCATAAATGCTGACACTGAAATCCGATTGTAAATTTTTATGTCAAATTTCTGTGATTGCAAATTCTGCACTGTTCTTAAAATTATGTGTTTTTTTTTGTTCTAACTCTTAATATTTCCATATCTATCGAGAGCTTCAAGACTCAAAATAGATGAGAGATTCAAGACTTTAGGTAGTTTTAAGCTTTGGATCATCATAATTTTAGAAACTGTCATGGTGTCTAACGTGGGGAGGTCTGCACTTTTCTTAAAATTATGTGTTTCTTTTGTCCTAGCTCTTAATATTCCCATATTTATCAAGACCTTCAAGACTCAAAATAGATGTGAGATTCAAGATTTTAGATAGTTCTAAGCTTTGGATCTTCATAATTTTGAAAACTGTCATGGCGTCTAACGTGTTGAGTTCTGCACTTTTCTTAAAATTATCTGTTTCTATTGTCCTAGCTCTTAATATTCCCATATTTATCAAGACCTTCAAGACCCAAAATAGATGAGAGATTCAAGACTTTAGATAGTTTTAAGTTTTGGATCTTCATAATTTTAGAAACTGTCATGGTGTCTAACGTGGCGAGGTCTGCACTTTTCTTAAAATTATCTGTTTCTATTGTCCTAGCTCTTAACATATATTAGGTTTATCAAGGCTTTCAAGACTCAAAATAGACAAGAGATTCAGGACTTTAGATAGTTCTAAGTTTTGGATCTTCTTAATTTTGAAAATGTTGAGTTCTGCACTTTTCTTAAAATTATCTGTTCCTTTTGCCCTAGCTCATAACATCTATTAAGTCTATCTTGGCTTTTATGGTTCAAAATAAACAAGAGATTCAAGGCTTTAGATAGTTCTAAGCTTTGGGATCTTCATAATTTTGAAAACTGTCATGGCGTCTAACGTGTTGAGTTTTGCACCATTCTTAAAATTATCCTTTTCTTTTGTCCTAGCTCTTAACATCTGCCAAGTCTATCAAGGCTTCCAAGACGTAAACTAGACAAGAGATTGAAGACTTTAGATAGTTCTAAACTTAAGTGTTGGATTCTGCTCTTTTCCTAAAATTATGTGTTCCTTTTGTCCTAGCTCTTAATATTCCCAAATCTATCAAGGCTTTCAAGACTCAAACTAGACAAGAGATTCAAGACTCCAGACAGTTCCAAGCTTCATATTTCCATAATTTAAACAAATTTCCTATTTCAAACCTAAGATTTGAACAGAGTCCATCGACACATCGTCCAAAAAGGATCGTCCAGGTAATTCTCACCGATAGGAGGTGGCAACGAGGAGGCGCGTAAAGGTGAACGTACCGCCAATAACACGATCGAGGCAACATTTAGGCGACCGGACGTCGAAAGCCCAGGCGGAACAAGGAAGCGGTTCGACGAGAGGAAAGTCCAACGACGCAGGAACGTTAGAGCAGGGGGACGAGGGGGGGGATGTCGAAGGGTGGGACAGGAGAGGAGGTGGACACGCAAGTGTTAGAATTCCAGCGACGGAGTCACTGCGCCGCAAGAGAAGAGAAAGCGGCTCCGTTGAGACGCAACAACAGGCAGTCGAGCAATCCAGCCGGCCAGGCATTCAGGCAGCCGTTGACCCACTTTTCGATCGTTTCTGCCGGGCAAATAGCGCGTCCGTGCACGTACGCGAGCGCCAATCCTGGTGCACACGGGCCCCGCGGAGGCTGCGGCGGTAAACGGGGACGCGGGGGATGCACCGTACGAACGCACCTTAGATGCAGTTATGCGCTGCAGAGGCCACGCGGACGGCGACGACGTGCGACGCGCCGGCCACGGGTTCTGCGTGTGCAACGTGAATCGAGTTCTAGTTGTCGGCAAACGGTGCATCCGAGTCGTTGCACCCCGACTGAGGGGGAAGGGGAGGTGGGGAGGGGGAGGGGGGAACGCGGCGGATGAATTGCAACGCTCGTACCTGTCGGCTTTTCCGTTTCACCGAAGAGACGCGCGAATTTATGAAATCGTCACTCCGAGTAACGGAGATCCAACGCGCACGCGCACTCGAGCCATCCGTGGCGAACCTGCACTCGCGCTGGCCACATGCTTCGATGTATCGTACAAGCTATATTATCTATGTTGTAATCGTCGTTGTCGAATGCTGTGCAAATGATATTTCGCGATGAAATTGTAATGGCGATGCGGGGATCGTGTAGATCGAGATTAGATTTGGAACGTTTTTCGATGCAACCCATTTTGCATATTTCTGTACCTTGTTTCAGTTTAGTTTTGTAACGTATCGTACTGGTGAGATTTAAAAATTGTTCCTTTGTATAAATAAAATAGAAATACAGTCACGAGGAAACTGCATTGTGCCTTTATAAAAAACAGGCTCACTGTGGAGTATTTTATGTTCGATTTATTCACGTATTACAACCATTATATATATTGAATTATTTTTCTTTGTGGGTTTTTAACTCGTACCAGTGCCATTATAAAACTCGTCGTTTCTTCTATTAAAGAAGACTGGTTCTGCTTCCTCTGCAACGAAGCATCCATAGAAGACATGACCCAGCGCATAAAATGTGCATAATAGATTCATAAAATTTATGGATGTACACGGGGGAAAACATAAAATCTATTATTGGTCAGTCGCTTGTAAAATGAAAATACATTTATTCTCGTTATTTAATAATTGTTGACACAAGTCGAGGATTTTCTAATTAATGAAGTTAAATCATTATTATTATATTGTTTACTTGCTGAGGCTATTCGTACGAAAAATGGTATAGACGATACTACCACGAGATTAAGTAAATGACAGAAGAATTTTTCTCCCTCGAAACCATACGCGACTTTTGTCTGAAGCATTTTCGAAAAACGAATATGGGAAACGTAATAATCCGGTTTCTTTCGCCTTTTAGATTAAAATAACAATTGTCAGATGATACTGTTACGCGTCTCGTAAAATTGATTCTTAATATTATTCTCTCACCTTGGAGTCCTCGGTGTAGGCAAGTAACGTAAGCGAATCCGAGCTTAACCTTTAGAGGATCGGCCTTTCTTCAATAAAATCTTGTAGATTTCATACCAGAAGATTGTATACATAAGTAACGTAAGTCGTATGCAAAAGTTATCGTGCAGATTCGGAGCCATTACGGTGGCGCGACTCCGGGCCTCAAAAGTTGGAGTAAAATAAGTTTTTTAATATTATTCGTTGACAGTGTATATCCGGGATCGTTTTTAGGTCTTTGATAACGAATCTGCAGCCGGACGTGGCTTCAGAGGATCAACTAGAGACATTTCACAAAGCTATAGAGTTTGTCCCAAAAATTTGTGAAATTCTGTTTCGTCATAGTGGATCTGCCATTTTAAAATTCTTAAATATGACTACAGATGTAACATCTGCGTCAATTTTCGTCCACCACATTGTATTTTATAAAGATCAAAACCCGAAGACAACCAGAGGAAGTTCATTGTTGCGATTATAGAGAGTAATACTGCATGTACGTACGCGCATACACGCGTGAATTATGCGAGGCGCTGATCGAATTATGTATGCCGACAAACAGTGTAACGTAGGCGGTGCATTACAGAGATAGAGAGACTCGTAGGTTTGAACGACCTTAGGTTGCCTGAAGAAATACGTTTCATAGGTCCGAGAGCTTTCCTCGAATTAGCTACCTTTGATGCAACCATTTTCGTCGCTGAGATCGTAGATTACATTGATCTAAGTAAGTCAAATAACGCATAAACGCGTATTAATAAATGTAATTCTATATTTTAATGTATTCTCAGAATTATAATCATTTCAGACTTCGTATGGTCTGATAGGTTTTACTTATTCATTCACTGTGATAACGCGTGCTTTCGACCTTATACGTTCTTCGAGTGGGAACGAAACTTCTATGAAAATGTAAATAAAAATACTAATGTAGCGAAATGATTTTTAATTTCTTTTTACATTTACCCCTTTTGATAGTTTAATGGAGCATTTCTATGCAAAATACCTTAGAAAAATATTTTTCATAAAATTTTTTAATAGAATCAAAGTTAAATCATCAACAAACATTTTTAGATATTAGTTAAATCAATGTTGAAAATCCTGACTGGCTCAAATATAACTCATCAAACAGTATAATATCATTTTCTTACAAACGAATCAAAGTTAAATCATCAACATTTTTAGATATTAGTTAA